AAGTTTCTTGCTTCTAATGTAAATAAGTATGCATTCTCAGATAGCACTAATAAAGCCTTTTGGTTAACTATGCATGCTCCCCAAGTGGGCTTTTGCCCTCTTTTGAGGGGACCATTTGAGTTGAAAGTCATGATCTCCCACTACCACGGTTACCTTTGTCCTACTGTCAGCCAATTTACTGCTGATGTCTGTGGATTGTAACATTTTATCAGCTTGACTCCTTTTATGACCTGAACACTCTTCCTTGAAGGTCTCTTGCATTCTTAACATATCAGCTTTGATAACAATGTCCTTTTTATCAATTCTGTTGTAACAAAAATCCCTAGTTCTACAATGAATCAAAATGAGCTCCTGCTTTTTGTTGTGAACGTGCAGTTTGCTTAAAAAGCACTCGAAGGCTAATTCAATCTTTATCAAACTGTTAATGTTCCCCTCCTTAATTCAATCTTTATCAAATCATTAATGCTCCCCTCCTTTGCATCTGTGCAGTTATGTACACAAAATACGCTCCTGGTCCATCCTGTCTTCTCCTCAGCTATGTTGTCTGTTTGCAGTCACTCATCAACCTCCACTTTTCCCCAGTGAAAGTATCTTCATTATTTTCTTTCTCTTAGCAGTTAAGGAATATAATTTTTAAACTTTCAGTGCAAACTTTCAACTTAGGTGTCAAACAAACTTCAGAACATTTACCGTCCATCATCTATGCCCTTCTACTCAGAAAGAGTGAATGTGCTCCTTCTTTGTCAAAGGACTTCCTTTGTGAGAGTTAAGGTGAGATAGAGAGGCATGTGGGACAAAGGGCCTCATTTGTGATAATAACAGCCTAAAGTTTGTTGAGTTAATTCAGGAACAAAGCTGCCATTATGGTATGGCAGTGTTGTCCCAAAAGCTGGGGTTCATTTACTTGGTGTGCAAGCCAATAACACACAGAGTTGAGGTATTACCTATTTATTAGCAGTACTGTGCAGAAAGAGGTGCTAGGGCATCATCCCACAAAGCTAGCACACACAAGTCAAAAACATAAGCATATTTATACAATTCTATCCAGGTAATATTTGCATAAAGAATCTACATCACTGCTTGGCTAATCTGTGATTGACTTAGCTTTCTCTCATCTCGAATTAAAGGTACAGTGCATTTTGAATATACTGCGCATATTCAGTGGGTAGGGGTCTTTACTTGGAGGCGAGTAGCTTTAGTACTGGAGGTGTGGTGTTCATATTATAATGAGCTAAGTTCACCTTAAGGACACATTTCTAGCTGATTCATGCAGTATAGCCAAGTTTATTGGGCAATCAGCCCGCTAAAGTTTTATGGTCCCTGGTTTCAGATCTACTTGTTCCTTTTATCCTATTTTCCTGTCAAGAACTGCTCTGCCCAAATGATTTACATCAGTTCCTTATCTTTGTTAGACGTTACAACCGTAAAGATTTTGACATCAGCAATATACTTCAGAAAGAATTCTCAGAACAAACAGTTTTAGGTATTCTGTTCCCATAAGTCTTTTGAGCTCACTCTACTCTCTTATGGACCGTTGTTACCTAAGCTGTCTTACCTAGAGGAGGCTGTGTAGACTTGTGTACAAAATTTAATCATCATTACCACCCAAAATGAAAAGAAAAACATAGAAATGAAATGTAGATCTTTATATTCATTGAATGTGTAAAGCTGACATATTCTGCAGCAGCTGATTCACCAGGTCTGTCTGAGAATTTGGGGCTCTTCACAAGTTCTAAATTTTTGTTACTAGTTAAGATACTCTGGTTTTCCATGCTGATTTATCTATTAAGATTCTTCTTTAAAGGTCTGCAGACCCTTTATGCCTTCTAAGTGATCCATTTTTCCCCTGAAGATGTCATGTTGGATGAGCTGAGTTAATTGCTCCTTCCCAGCTAATAGTCTTTGCACAGTAATGGGCTTTATTGAATGCTTGTAAATGTGCAATGGAGCTGCCTATCTTCCCTCAGTCTGGAGCCACTCAGTTTGCTTAACGATAGCACACAGAGAGGTTTAATACACTGAGTATAGACATTGCTGACAGATACGTGTCTCCCTTCCCTCCTCAGAATATACTTGTTATTTGGGATGATGATTTTAACATTGATGGCTTGTTCACAAATATGCATGTATTTTTTCCATTTTGGACTTTTCGTTATTCAGAGAGCCATTGGTGGCTACTGAAGGTAATGCAGGCCCTAAAGAGACCGAGACATGTGAGTGTTATACTGTAAGTGTTTTAGGACAAGAAGAAAAAAATATTTCAGAAAAATCTGTTGTCCAAGGAATTTAGACTGTTTGCACGTATGTGTAATTAGATCGCACGGTAGAAATAAGGGTGAATAGAGACACAATGTGTTGACAATAATGTATTAGTAACGTATTCCTATCCTAAAGCAGGGAGGGGTAGAAACTTGAGTGATTTTTAAAATGTTCTTAGCAAGGGAAGATCATGATTTCTACTCTGAAGTCAACTTAGTGCTTATTTTGGTACGTACAAATGAAAGGACAGCCCCAACATTAGTACTTTTTTTCTTTTTTGTAGTAAAACTAAATGCATGGGCAATTAATAGATCTAAGATGTGATTCGCATGCTGTCTTTCGTTTAGAATTGCTTGAAAACAACCTGTCAGGATGAAAAAGACCAAGGTAACAAAAAACTGGTGACATACATCTTCATAAACCAGAGATTTAAAATATTGTCTGCATAGCTTATTTTTTAGTAAGAAATAATTCCTTGAAAAGAGTGAACTCTTACATAAAGCTACATACATACAAAGACTTATGAAGGCTTTGTATATATAAAGGTGATACACATTTCATCTCTGTTTAAACAATAACACTTTTTGATAACTATTGCCACCTAGCTATCCTATCTTCTCCTATGGACAACAGATGGAGAAACACCTAGGGTAAGGGGTAGTTCATGTTGCCTGCATTCTGATAGAGTTAATCACTTTTTAGTGGTACTCTGGGCTTCAAAGTAGGAGTCTAGATTGATTTTAACTAGACATTCAGCTTTTAGAGGACATAAATTCGTGTAATGTTTCCCACCCTTAGAAAGGTAACTGATAGGGGGAACATTACCAGTATATATCAGTCGATTGTAAATTCTTCAGTCTTCTATACAGGTTTCTAGTGTTAGAGAAATCACTTTTTCAGTTGAAAAAGTAACTGAGAAATGAAACAGTAAAACTATTTTAAGGATCCCAAACCTCCTGGTTTCTTCAAAAAAAATGTTAAAATCAACTTTAAAAAGTCTCCTGCATACATATATTTGTATACATACCTATATGCGCATACACATGCAGATCTATGTATTTCCTCTTTTCTCCTCACATAAAAAAAACCCTTCGATCACTCCTTTATTTGCCATATTTATTCCTGCAGATATATACAAAGTGGAAGCAGAGGATGGAAAACCAGACTTTTGTGACTGCATTTATTCTTCTGGGTTTCCCTAGCCTTCAAAGGATTTGTATTTCGTTCTTTGTGGCAGTCTTGTTCACTTACATTTTGACTGTCACTGGGAATGTCATCGTCATTGTCACGTGGTTAATGAGAACACTCTCCATAAACCTATATATTTCTTCCTTGGAAATCTCTCACTTTCGGGAATCATCTATGTCTCAACCATTATACCCAAGCTTTTGGCGAGTCTTCTGGATGTCAAGAACTCAATCAGCATACCTGGATGCAAAGCCCAAACCTTCTCCCACTTCTTCCTTGGTGCTACTGAGTTTTTCCTCCTCACAGCCATGTCCTTTGACTGACACATAGCGATACGCAACCCTCTCCACTACACCACCATTATGAGTGCAAAACTATGTGCTCGGCTCTCATTTGACTCTGGTGTTTAGACTGCCATTCTGTGGCCCCAATATCATCAATCACTTCTACTGTGACGTTGCGGCACTGCTGAAGGTAGATTGCACTGAGACTTACCATATTGAATGGCATGTTTTCACTGTTGCTACAGTGGTTCTGTTTAGCACTTCCTTTTTGACTGTCATCTCTTACTTCACCATCATTTTTACCTTATTGAGGATCCTGTCTGCTTCTGGGAGACTGAAAACTTTCTCTGCCTGCATTGCTCACCTGTCTGTAGTCATCATGCTTTATAGGGCAGTCATATTAATTTACATCAGGCCAAGAGGGCCTGTCTCACTAAATGTGAACAAAGTGGTATCCTTCTGAACACCCTTGTG